GGATTTAAGTGGAGAGAAAATGTTTTCAGAATGATGAGGGCAATGAATGTACAAATGCGCTTTACACAATTGATGTGTGTATGGATTGTGATAAGAGCTGTATGAGCCCCTAATAAAATGATATTTTTTTTAAAAGCTGAAAAAAAATGTTAGAAAGCAAGGATGTTACTTTAAGTATTAAGCTACTCCTGACCCAACTCATTTTATTTTCAATTGACTGATATGCATGTGAAAGCTAGACCATAAAAAGGAAAACCAAGAAATTAATGCCTTTGAATTATGATATGGGCGAATTATATTGAATATACCATGGGCTGCCAGAAGAGTCAACAAATCTGGCCAAAATGAAGTACAGCCAGAATGTCCCTTAGAAGCAAGAAGAGCAAGACTTCATAATACATACTTTAGACATGCTATCAGGAGGTCATACTCACTGAATGAAAAACATCATTGGTATTGTAGAGGGTCAGTAAAAATAGGAAGACTTTTAAGAACAGGGACTGGTAGAGTAGCAGCAAAATGGGCTCAGGCACAGCAGCGATAGGGAAGATAGTACAGGAGTGGGTTACATTTTGTTCTGTTATACAAAGATATACTATTAACTGGAACCAACTCAATGGATCTTAACAATAACAATATATGAACCAATATAAGTAATGAGTGTGGGATTTTACAAAACACCAGCTCCTACTAGAGGCATAGTTCCATTACCAATTTGATTTACCTTTTTTGAAAGAGAATTGGGTAAAAGGAACAATACCAGAACCAGTTACAGGAATGTAAACTTGTTTCATCCCCTTGAATAATCACTGCAGTACTGAATCACCCTATTGAGAGGGTCCTTCAGCTGTTCTCAGGCAGAAGGCAAAGAATAACTGTACAAGCCACTGGTAAATTAGACATTCAGACTATCTACCTAGTAGTTCTCCTTTTATGTATCGGGCTTTAAAGCGATATTACATGGTTTTGCAAGCAAAAGGGATACAAATGAAACAAAAATACCATGATCTTGATCGGGAGCATCTAGGTTGTAGCCATATCCTAGCAGTGTCCTCACCGCCTCCCTAAGGCTGTCCTTATTTGATTTCTTGGTGCGGTCATCTAGTAGAGCATAGGGAACAAGACGGGGGTTTCTTCTGTTCTTTACATCCTATAGAAAGAACAAATTGCACACATCATTAAAGCAATTCCAATGGCTTTTAAAAATTAGAAAGCTAGCAAATTTGAAGATTTTGCGGTAAAAGCTGTCTCTTCCATATGCTCTTCATCTTTTCAGCATGGAAAAGTTACTAAGATTCTATTAATAAAAGATTTAATCAAATTAGCAAATGCATAAATTTAAAAGCAGCTCTTGCCACAGGAAGAAAAAGTAGAAATAACTCAGCTTATCATCTTATAACCATCTACCATAGGCAATGGCCACAAGGAAAGGGTTCACTTATAATTTCTTTATAATTCCATGTATGAAATTGACAAGTCTTTGTTCTAAGCTAGTACTGGGCCCATGTTAGTGGTTTTTTTTTTTTGTTTTTTTCCCCATGTCGGTGGTTTTGAGTCAATGAATAACAAATTGCTTTCCCTTCTTCAGAGAAAACTCAGTGGGATACAGACAGCCATCCTTTGTCCTTCAAAGAGCTGGGGAAAATATTTCAGTTGCGCATATCCATTGGTGAAACTAGTAATAGGATCACTGAAATGAGTGCTGCTGTGTAATGTTAGTGCTGTTAAATTGGTTCTGAATCACAGTGACACAATGCACAGCAGGAATCACTGCCTGCTTCTACTCTGTCCTCACCCTCACTGCTATATTTGAGCCCACTGTTGCAGCCAATAATGTATCAATCCCTCTTGCTAATGGTCTACCCTTTTTTGCTGACCCTCTACTTTACAAGTATGTTGTCTCCCTTAGGGACTAGTTTTTCCAGATAACATGCCCAAAGTATATATCATGAAGCTTTACCATCTTAACTTCTAAAGAAAATTCTAAAGAACAAATATTTGTTCTTTCTACTGGTAGTCTGTGGAATGTATATTCAATATTCTTCCACAATACCATAATTCAATTGAATCTACGGTTTTCATTGTTTTTCCATTTTTTTCATACATATGACTACAGACTAAAAATTTAAACTTGGCTATTTTTTTTTAAATGGCTAAAATTTTGTTGGCAAAACAATACTTTACTATCTTAGCAAAAGGATGCTTAAATATAAAACCAAAGAATACAAAAATAAACTCACTGCCATTGAGTCAATTCCAACTCATAGAAACCCTGTAGGAGTAAGTAGAACTGCTCTTTTGAGTTTCCAACACTAAAGATAGGGTAAAAACTGTACTTTCAAGGGAATGGTAGAGATGTATTAGGTCCTATCATTCTATGAGTTACTACCACTTAAGAAATTAATTTCTATATACGAACAGCCTCTAAAAACCCTGATGGCATAATCATTAAGCACTAAACTGCTAACCAAATGGAGAGCAGTTTGAAACCACACACCACTTCACAGGAGAAAGATGTGGCAATCTGTTCCTCTAAAGATTACAGTCTTAGAAATCATGTAGGGCAATACTACTTTTCCCTAAGGAGTCTCTCTGAGTTTGATTCAAGTGTGTGGAAATGGATAGAGAGGTAACTGAGCATCTGCTGCAGAATCCGTCAAAATTTTCTCATTTCCAGAAGCAAAATCAGTTCTTAATTTAGCATTAAGAAGAATTGGGGGATTGTGGGCATCCTCACACCTTCTTGGAAAAAGTTCCTCCCTTCCTTCTTGACACCCTCCAGCAAATTTACAATGAATATCTGAAAAGAATTTCCATATGTAGGATAGTGACAAAATGAGCCTGGTGATAGTGATTTCCTATTGGACTATTAACCACAAGGTCAGCAGTTCAAAACACTTCACAGGAGTATGACAGGACTTTCTACTCCCATAAAGTTTTTACTCTCAGAAATTGACAAGGTAAGCTGTACCCTGTCCTGGAGGGTTGCTATGAGCTGTCATGGACCCAAACTCAGTGAATTTGGTTTGGTTTTGAGGATACAGAGACCTGGAGGCAAAAGTGGCTGGGTTGCTTGTTAGGGTAGCACCAAGAGTAAGTAGTTTAGGAATTCCCATTATGACCATCACAAAGCTACTACAAAATGAACACGTAGCATGAACACAATGCCAGCACTACCAATGAATCTTCCAAACATATTGCCATTTTCACATAGTTGCTAACCTCAACTTTGAAAATCTGGAATCTCTAAAGGGTTATGCTTCTTGGAGGCGAATTCTGGAAATGTGTTTATAAATGGCACTCTTTCAGTAGTTCCTTGCATAAATATTTATATTTGAGATGAAACTGGTAGAAATGATTAGTATAAGGCATTTCCTTTCTAATTGAAAGGTTTCACTTTCTATTCCACTTTGGTTGAAAAGACTAATGATCTACTTCCAAAAAACTCAGACATTGAAAATCCCATGAAGCACAGTTCTACTGTAACACACACGGTATTGTCAAGGGTTCAAAGTGAACACAAACACAACTAGTTTTGAATGCAAGCGAGCCAGAGAAGTGTTGACTCAATTGTATTCATTTGGAACTTATATAGGCTGAGAAATCATGTGACAGAACTAGACACCTCCAATAATAAGGTTATCCAGAAATCCTGTATTGTCTGACAGACAAGGTCTTCCAAGTGAGAAAGATGTTTCTTTGCAAAGATGCAATACAAAATTCTTAATTCTTCATCCCACTGTAGTATAAATAGCACATAATGACAGGATAAGGACCAGATTGCCACACACAATAGTTTAATAATCACATAGTGTTTAAATTATCACCATCCATAATGCTTATTCCAGATAAAATAATATCATTTTATGAAAAAAATTCAGATATTCAAATTTTCTGCTCTTTTTCCAAATTATAAAGGCCACTGGATTAAAACAATTTCTAAAAATGTACTTTTCAAACTAAGTTTGAGGTTTTAAACTGTACCATATTCTAAATCAATTAGAGACAATCAATTTTAATCTTGAAGATCATATTTAGTCAGTAAGAAGTGAAGTACTTTGACACTGGAATGAGTTGTTTATAGGTTGAATTAAAAACAAACAAAACCCCCTACCGCATTATCATAGAGTCAGTTCTGATGCATAGTGTCCTTAAAAGGCAGAGTGGGACTACTTGTCAAGGCTGTAAATCTTTACAGGAGTAGAAAGGCTCATCTTTCTTCCAGGGCTTTCACTGATGAGTTTGAATTGCTGCCCTTGTGGTTTGCAGCAAGCAGCACATCATCTACTATGTCATTAGGATTCCACTGCATTGAAGTGAGTGATCCTAAAAAAGTTTTTTTCAATTCTCCCAGCACTATTTATTGAATAATCTAGATTTTCTCTATTGATTTCAAGTATTACATTTGCATACATTTCTTTTTTTAAAATAATCATTTTATTAGGGGCTCATACAACTCATCACAATCTGTACATACGTCATCTGTGTCCAGCACTTTAGTACATATGTTGACTTCATCATTCTTACGACACCCACTTTCCACTTGAGCCCCTGGTGTCAGCTCATTTTCCCCCCCCCTCCCCCCCCACCCCCGATAATTTATAATTTATTATTATTTTATCATGTCTTACCCCATCCCACGTCTCCCTCACCCACTTCTCCGTTGTCCGTCCCCCAGGGAGGAGGCTACATGTAGACCTTGTCCTCTGTTCCCCCTTTCTCCCTCTCCTTCCCTCCACCCTCCCGCCATCACCACTCTCTCCACTGGTCCTGGGGACTTCATCTGTCCTGGGTTCACTGTATTTCCAGTCCCTATCTGTGCCAGTGCACCTCCTGCAGTCCAGCCGGATATGTAAGGTAGAATTGGGATCATGGTAGTGGGTTGGAGGAAGCATTTAAGAATCAGAGGAAAATTGCATATTTCATCTTTACTACACTGCACTCCTAAAATTTGTATTGTAAATCCTAACTTCTCTTCTTGAAGTGCTAATCCCCTTTGGGGTATGAGTTACATTTGTTATGTTAATGAGGCATCATTTCCTTAGGATGCTTTTGAGTCAATTACTAAAATAAATAAATACAACAGATAGAGGGGCCAGCAAGAGGGCAGGAGCAGAAAAGCCACAAGAAACAAAGACTCCAGCACTTGCAGGGAAGAGAAAGATTTCCCTTGGAGGCAAACTCCAAATTCAGACCTCTCGCCTCTTAATCTGTGAGAAAATAAGCTTCTGTTTGTTAAAGCCACTTGTTATACTCTGCTACATTAGCACAAAGACAAAATTTGGTAAGAGAAACAGTGGTGTTGCTGTAACAAATACCTACAATGTGGAAGTGGTTCGGGAACGGGTTCATGGGTGAGGCTGAGAGAGTTTTATGGTGCCTAATAGTAAAATCATAGACTGTGTTGAAGAGATTATTGGGAAAAATCATCTAGAATATTGTTAGAAATGTGGACATTAAGTGTACTTCTGGTGAGGTCTTAAAATGATTAATGCAATTGTACAACGAAGGAATCGTGATGCTTTCTAAGGAGTAGCAAAGCGGTCATGTGGTTCTTTGTGAAGCTTATAAAAACACGGGTTAGGAAAGAGGTAGGCTTAAAAAGGGACTGTAGAAAAGGAGTGAAACTTTAATATTTGGAAAATCCTATTGTATACACTAAGGACATGTGTGCTAGTGTTTTTGGTAGGGTGTGACTTGAAGAGACGATTCACTATTATTTTATGATGGAAATAGAGTTAGGAGAATTATATACTTTGTTAGATGGAACTTAGCTAGAAATCCTCCATAACTGTGACCCTGAGCTAACCCCTTCTAACTTGCCTCATAGAGTGTTCTTTGATGTATCCAGGCATGCGTGTTCACTGATACAAGCTAAGCCAATGACCTGATTCTTATCTGAGTGTAATTAATTTCCCAGGCTTCTTCCTTCTCATCCCTAAGGGCCAAGACATCCATACTTGGCTTGTTTCCTCAAGATTTGGGGTCCCCCTAAGTAATGGAAGTGCTATAAAATAAGATCTTTATTACACCAAAACTTTGTTTATTCAATTTGTGCCTGTCATTCCAAGATTTGTGTGTGTGTGACAACCTGTTTCATATATATACACATACATACACATATACATATACATATTCCCTGGGAGAATA